TGGCATGGCCGCGCGGGGTCTCCCGGTCACTGTTTCCGCCCTTACGTACGCGTGAGCAGGTGTCCTGACGTGTGCTCTGTACCTTTACATAGTATATTCAGGGTGCATCTCTTTATTAGCAGAATACCCTTGACTTTTGTCACGTTAAATCCAGACTGAAAGCCGTGAACCTGAGGCGAAGTGCCTGGCCTTTCTGTGCTTGCGTAGCAGTGGGCCTTCGGTTAAAGCCGTCAGCTCCTGCTGTCTTGGTCCTTCCCTGTCTCTTTCTAGCTGCCTGCACTCTCCTTCCTGCCCCCTTTGGGCTGGTTTAGCAGTTTCACTGCTCCTTTCTCCCCTCTGGCGGCCTGTGAGCTGTGTCCTCCTGCACTGGGATGGCCGCGTACAGCAGTGGCTGCTGCGAAGGGCCAGGCGGTGCCCGCTGGCGGCTTTGAGGGCCACGCAAAGTCTCGTCGTCAAAAGGATAGACCGTTCCCTGTGGGCCGTACAGACACATAGGCCGCCCGCTGGAGTTGGCCCTCAGGCGGTGGCTCTGGGCCCCGGCTTCTTAAAGGCTAATGCAAGGTAGTCCCTTTCCACTCGCCAGGCGGTGCAGGGGCCTTAGACTGAGCACTAAGCAGGCTCGTCGTCTTAGGCGTCCTCAGTGCCGCGTGGTTGCCTGGATGCAGTCACCGCAGGTTAAATGTTCATCGCTTGCAAATATTTTGTTAAATTAATTTCAGTTTTTAACTTGTTTAATCAACAGCAGGTAGAAATGCTATTGCTTTTTTAATAAAAACCCCATTTCCTGTGACCTCGCTGAACTCGCTGGATAGTTCTAATAGCTGTTTTGTAGGCTCCTTAGGGTCTTCTCTGTGTCGTCCGTAAGTAGTTTTCCGTCTCCCTCTCCCATCTTTATGTCTTTGTTCCTTTTTCTTGCTTTATTGTGCTGGCTGCTGCCTCCAGCGCAGTGTTAAATAGAAGAGATGCAGCTGGGCGCCCAACCCTGCTCTCCGCTGAGGAAACGTTTTATCTTTTCTCAGTGAGTGTCACGTGAGCTGTGAATTTTTCGTAGATGTACTTTATCAGGCTGAGAAAGTTCCCTTCTGTACTTAGTTTCCTCAGAGACAGGCTTTATTTTATAGTTTCCAACTCTCTGCCAAAGTTTCCAGCCTATTCTTCAGTTCATTGAACACATCAAGTGAGATTATCATAAAATCTCTGATTTTGCCCGGCGGGCGTGGCTCAGCGGCTGAGCATCGACCCGGGATCCAGGCGATCGGGGTTCGATTCCCGGTCAGGGCCCAGGCCCAGGTTGGGGCTCGATCCCCAGTCGGGGGCATGCAGGAGGCAGCCGGTCAATGACTCTCACCATTGATGTTTCTCTCTCTCTCTCCCTCTCCCTTCCTCTCTCTGAAATCAATAAAGACATATTTAAAAAAAAAAAAATCTCTGATTTTGCTGTTATCAAAGTCCTCTGCAGTCTTTCTCTTGTCAGTTGTTTATCTTGGTTTCGAGCGTACACTTAAGTCCCCAGTAAGTGCCTGTTTGTTTTTGATTGAATGCTATGAATTGAACGTGGAAATTCGGAGCCTTGGGGTGAGTGGGCGCTGTGAGGTCTGAGCTATTTCCAGCCCCCCTCCGAGTCCCAGCTCAGAGCCCAGGGGTGGTATCAGAGCTCCCTCTCCTTGGCAGCCCCTCAGCTCCAGTTTGTTCTCCAGCCCAGGAGGCTGCTGGCTCGGCCCATTTCTCTGCCTCTGGGTCCTGCTTTGGGAGCCGCCAGGTTCAAACCTGGGGCTTCCATCTCGCCTGGCCAGCCCGGCAGGGGCTTCAGAGAGGTTCCGCACGCAGCCCGTCTGCTTGCTCCCCGCAGGAGGAGGGGGAGTCACCTAGGGCCCCACTGCCAGAAGGGAACCCAGGACGTCATCCGGGCCTTGGAGATGAACCCACCCACACACTGGGGTTTCAGGGGTTACTCAGGGCCCTGCCTACTCAGCCCTCCGGGTGGCATCACAACAGCTGAGTTAGTGACGAGATCTGCACAGGCTTTCTCCCCATGTTCCCTCCCGTCTTCCTGTGAGGAGGCAGGCACAGTCCTGCGTCCAGGTGAGGGGAGACGCCTCCTCCGCTCACACCCCAGCCCCCCGGGGACGCACCTCACACTCTACAGACGCAGATCCGTGCACGCTGAGTGGACGTCGCCTGTCCTCACCTGAAGCCTGCCAGAGGCTGGAGCAGCAGGGCCTGCAGGCAGGGGACTCAGATGACACTGAGAGCGTGGGTTCTGCACAATTTTGAGTAGAGAGATCACAAGAGACTGATGGACGTGTGGCTTGGTTTGGCTCCTGAGAATGTCAGCAAATGAAGAAATGTTCTCACAAGACGTGCTGGCGAGTGTGGTGCCTACGTGAAGACTGAGGTGTGTGTGCTCTGTGAACGTGTGTGTGTCTGGCTCTGGGGCAGCACCCACCAGTTAAGGAAATGCACGCACCACGGTGCACAGACACCCCTGAGGGCTCCTTTGGTGACGCCAAGCGCACCTCCCAGGCCCCGCGCCCACAGGTGAAGACAGCCTGGTCTCGTGCGTGTGGTTCTTGTCTTACCACTGAGTACCCATCAGGTTCCGGCTGGGACAAGCAGAAGAACTGTTTCAAAGGGAAGTTGCCAGGTTTACCTCCATTTCCCTAGTCTGCACGTTTCTCTGTCCGGAGCTGTTTGCATTCGGTCAGTGACCCAGCAGCGTCTCCGCAGCCATTTTCATGAAGCCCTTTGGAGCACACGGTGGACAGCATCCGCTTTACTTGAGCTGGATGTGAGATGATGTAAGTTTATAAAACGATGGAGTTTAAAATATCTCCCCTTTTCAGGAAAATGTGCTGTAGCCTCCCTCTTATTAAAAAACAAAGTTTTATCTCCTTTGTTATGCAAGGAGGATGCGTTCAGCACAGACATATTATTAAATACAGAGCAGCAGAGGGAATTGGAATCATCCATAATCTTTGCCAAGGCCGTCTCCTCTCGGTTGGTGCTTGGGTGCAGCCCTTCCAGGCTTTTCTCTAAATGTATTTGTGAGTTTATTTATTTATTTTATTTTATTTATTTTTTAAATATATCTTTATTGATTTCAGAGAGGGGGAGAGAGAGATAGAAACATCAATGATGACAGAGTCATTGATCGGCTGCCACCCACCACCCGGGCATGTGCCCTGACCGGGAATCGAGCCCTGATCGCTTCGATCCTAGGTTGATGCTCAACCGCTGAGCCACACCCAGCTGGGCGTGAGCTTTTTAAAAAAGCAGCATCCCTTACACCCTGTTATTTCTGCACGTTTAAAATGACCTGGTTTTGTGCACACAGAGATACCTGGAGGGCCAGTCACCCAAGTGTTTCTAGCAGTTCTCAGAGGATGGAGTTTGGGACGATTGTCTTCCTTCTTGTCACTTGAGTGGTTTTAGTGAGTTTGTGTTGTTTTCTTGGAAACCACAGTTTCTCACGTTTCACTTACACAGAGCGTGCGGTCTTGCAGTCAGGACTGGTAGCCGCTCATCAGATGCGTGTGGCTCACCTGCCGTGCCCCCCGTGTTCCGTGCTGTGCTTTGGGCTGGAGGGATGAAGGACTCGGTCCTGGCTTCCAGAGGGCTCCAAGCCCAGGGGAAGATGTCACCTGGGTAATAGCTGTCGTTCACGCAAAGACCCCACCGAGTTCTGTGGGAGCTCAGAGCAGTAACCTGAGAGCCTGGGGGACCCTAGGCAGGGACAGCAGGTGGCTCCCTGGAATGTCCTCTGAGAAGAGGCACCTTGCGTGTTGGTTGGTGCTCCCTGAGCCGGACGACAGGAGGGCACACTGGCTGTTGGACAAGGACAGGTTCGGTGTAGCTGGGAGGCACGTGTTTGGTGAAAGACAGTGAAGGACAGCAGCTCCTTCACCGGGTCAGGCCTGGGGAGCGGCTGGGGCTGCGTCCGAGCTGGGCGGTGCTGTGCTCGGTCAGGTCTGGAGACGGACTTCGGTCAGGCCGCTGTCCTCCTCCGGAGTGCGGCCCTGGCACCTGCCCGTCCCCTGCCCCTGCCCCTGCCCCTGCCCAGGTGGTCGTGGCTCCCCTGCCCCAGCCTCCCCGGGCTCAGCAGCAGGAGAGTGCTGGTGCGGGGGGCTCGGAACCACAGCCGAGCGCCCCCCATCGCACCCTGAGGTCGCCCTGCTCTCGCTCTGTGTAATTGGGACGGTACCATATTTGTCTTGCGTCTTTACTTAATGTTAGAAAGCAAACGCTCTCCCACGTTATTAAAATATTTATAGACAATAGTTTAGTAGCTTGTAGTTATTTCGTTGTGGTTGTTCCTTCATTAATCACTTTTCCCGTGTTGGTAACAGGCCGTTTCTGATGTGGCCCTGTTAGGAAAATGCATGTCTGCTCCCCAACCTTGGTTTTGGGTTTAGGGTAGACCCCTGGAGGTCCACTTCGTTCTCTGACCTTCCTGTCCGCCCTTTCCAAACGGAACGCAAGCTCCCCGGCAGCTGCATCGGTGCTGGGACAGTGCTGAGCTGGGGTGTAGGTGCTTAGAGTTGTTGAGTGAGTGGCAGGTAAGCTGACCTAGAGGACAAGTGTCCTTCCTCCGCTCTGGCGTTAGAGTGCATGTGTGCAGGTGGGAGCCACGGGCGGGGCTGGGATGTGGAATGAAATGTGTTCACTCCTTGGCCACAGATGCCACAGGCTGCCTGTGGGGCCCAGTGTGTGGCTCATCTCAGACGTGGACACCACAGGAATGGCGCATGTGGCCACTGGGTCAGGTCCCTCTGGGGGTTTGTCTGGGGGTGCTGAACAAATAGCTTTTTCTACAGGTGGAAGGTGGGGTGAATTCTCAGGTGTGAAGTTAGACTTCTGAGGCTTGAGAATCTCGGCAAGGCAAGGGGCTCCTCGCGTTGTGGCCAAGCCCCCCGCCTCTGGTCCGAAGCTGCTTGTCTCCCACCTTTTTCCACAGCCGTGACTCCTCCCACCATCACTAATGGAAATGCCATGTCTCCTAGGATCCCTGGCCGGCTGAACGACAGGAGGACGCCCCTGGGCGAGCTGAACTGGATCTTCACTGCGATCACAGACACCATCGCGTGGAACGTGCTCCCTCGGGGTGAGGCCGCCTTGGGGTCAGTGGGTGGGAGGGCTGCTGGGGGCCAGGGGCCGCTGCCCTCCGATACCAGGGAGGTCAGATGGAGGAAATGGGTTCTCACAGCGAGGAGAGCTGGCGGGGTAACAGTCGGGGGCGGGGACCTGGGAGGTCTCTGGGGGGTGAGCCGGTCAGGGCTGAGAGCATGGCGTGTAGTGAGCTCTCCGTGAGCATCTGCTCCGATTGTTTTCTAGGCAGAATCAAGGGCTCACCTTTCTTCATGATCGTTGGCCATGTCCACGTTTCCTAAACTCATTGATCGGGTGGGTCTGGGTCTTTGCTCATTTTTGATGGAGGTAAATCTGTGTATTCGCTGGAATGCTGGGGTCAGTCGCTGAAGGCAGGCCGCCGTGTCCTCTGCCCGCAGACCTCTTCCAGAAGCTCTTCAGGCAGGACCTGCTGGTGGCCAGTCTGTTCCGAAACTTCCTTCTGGCCGAGAGGATCATGCGGTCCTACAACTGCACGCCCGTCAGCAGCCCGCGCCTGCCGCCCACCTACATGCACGCCATGTGGTGAGTGTCTGCCCAGCCCCTGGGCGCACAGCGATGGGGTTTCCCCTTTCTGGGTGGGGTCACGTGACCAAGACAGGCCGGCTTCCACCACACGTGGAGACCAGGTGGTGCCAACAGGGGAGTGAGAGCAGCCCCAGGCTTCCTCTCTGCCTGTGGGAACCGCGTCTCTGCCTAAGGGCTGGTGCCTCTGAGGGTCTCAGGCCCGGGTAGGACCTGCGGAGGGAGGGGCTCCTGCAGAGGGGGGTTCCCTGTGGAGGGCAGGGTCCTGTGGAGACCGGCGTGGAGAGGACAGACTGCCGCTGAGTCCTGGCGGCGTCCAGAGCTGCTCAGAGTCGCAGCCGGGCTTGTTCCACACACGCGCGCGTCCCGATGCACACATGTGCCCCTGTACACACACGTGCACACGAGTGGGACCTTTATGACTCTTGATTACAGGTTTCCTCAAAACAGGTGGGTTACTGTTACTTGCACCACTAAGAGTAACATGTAATCTTTATTCGACGTTGTGTCTGAAGGCCTGTGGCCCCTGCCTGCGCCCTCGCTTTCGTAAGGCAGAGCTTGGGGCAGTGCAGGCAGGGCGGGTGACACGCACCAGCGGGGGGACCTCCTACAAGTCTTTGAAAAGAGCTGATCCCTTGTGTTTAGACTGGAAGGCCACCTTATGGTGTGTTTTCAAGGTCAGGTTTGTTATCTGCATGACCACTTTCCCTGCCGTGGGGAACCTGAGGCCAGGACGCGGGCACATGCTGCCTCCCCCCTGGAGGAAACCGGGAACCAGTGCCCATGCCTGTGAGATAACCGGCTGGCCACGCACAGATGTGACGGGAAGGTTAGGACACGTGGCGCAGTGTTCCTCCTGAGCGCTCTGCGTGAAACGGGGGACCCCCCCGGAGACACGGGAGCCAGGCAGCAGCCTCAACCCTGGGTGAGCGGATGGCGGACACAGCGGACCCCGTCTCCGCTCCTCCGCAAAGGCGAGGATCGGGGAGCATGGTTGAAGAGGCTGCGGACACTCGGAATCAGTGTTAGAAGGGAGACCGCGTCCTCGGAACCACCTTGTTCCCTTAAGAAAGCCGACGCCTTGATCCCTCCCTGCCTTCTCAGCCAGCTTTTACACGGCAAGTTACGAAAAACAGAGAAAGCTCAACAGGGTCAGGGCCGCGTCTGGTCATGGACGGAAAACCAGTTAAGCACCTGAGAAGGCACCACAGCAGTCTCCCGGGTGAGGGCCTTCCGGCCACTGGGCGCCAGCTCTCGGGTTCCTTGGGTGACGCATGGTGCCGACCAGCAGTGCCCCCCCCCCCC